ATAGCTCCGCACCTGAGTGTTTCACTTCAGCACTGTGCCTTCCCTGAGTCTGGGTATGATATTCTCTTTCCTCCTAGTTGTAGAATTTCCACTCAGCCAGCCTTCCTGTGGTTCTGGATGATGTCCGTTCCGTCTTTAGGTGTATTTTGATTCGGTTGTTCAATTTCCGGTGTTAACCTATGCCGCCATCTTGAATAAAATACGTTTTATTTTCAATATGCAGTAGAATCAGCTGTTAAAATGTGTATACATTTTTTTGGGACACCTATATAAATTGTTTAGCATTACTTGGTTTTCTGTGACTTTTTTTAACATATAATTATAATAATGACAATAGAAAACATTTAACATGACACTGTTGTTTCTAAGATTCATGTGGTTTGTGCATTTTCACTGCTGTGTACAATTCCATTTATTCTCCTCACTTGTTGGTGGATAACTAGTTATTTTGTTTCCAATTTTGCTATCATGAACAATCCATGTATGTTTCTAGCTCTTGTCCCTTTGCGAACTTTGACACTTCTGTTTTTCTGAGCCTTTATATCAGGTGTCACAGCGCCTGCAGGAGTAGACAGGGATAATATGAGTAAAAAGGCTGGGTGTCGCCGGCTCAGTGGTTGAGCATTGACCTATGAACCAGGAGGTCATGGTTCAATTCCCGTCAGGGCACAAGCTCAAGTTGCAGGCTCCATCCCTGGTGGGGGGTGTGCAGGAGGTAGCCGATCAATGATTCTCTCTCATCATTGATGATTCTATCTCTCCCTCTCTCTTCCTCTCTGAAATAAATCAATACACACACACACAAAGACTGGGTGTAAACAATAATGTTGTGGGGCCTGGTGACTTGGGACAATACGTGTCCTAGTTAAACCCAAGCCGATTGTTTCAAGTGAGAAAATACGCTTATATTTCCAGACCTTCTGATTCTCCCAAAAGAAAGTAGAAATCTGGATTTTTTAAAATGCAAAATGTTCCACTTTTCAAATAATAGCAGTTAATTTAAATGATAAAAAATGTTGTCTGGGCGACACAAAACAGGTTTCCAGGTGCTATCCTTGGGCCTCCAACATCCACCTCTGCCTTTTCCCTTGTTGAGTGCAGTGAACTCTGCTTCAGTACCATTTCTTCCCTGTAAGGGTCTTATAGGCACCTCCTTTCTTTTTTTTCTTTTTTTTAAAAAATATATTTTATTGATTTTTTACAGAGAGGAAGGGAGAGAGATAGAGAGCCAGAAACATCGATGAGAGAGAAACATCGACCAGCTGTCTCCTGCACATCTCCCATGGGGGATGTGCCTGCAACCCAGGTACATGCCCTTAACCGGAATCGAACCTGGGACCCCTCAGAGGGATAGAGAGTCAGAAACATCGATGAGAGAGAAACATCGATCAGCTGCCTCCTGCACACCCCTTACTGGGGATGTGCCCGCAACCAAGGTACATGCCCTTGACCAGAATCGAACCTGGGACCCTTCAGTCCGCAGGCCGATGCTCTATCCACTGAGCCAAACCGGTTAGGGCTATTATGGAACTTTTAAGACAAAAGTAGAGAGACCATATAATAAATTCACCAGCTTCTACAATTAGCAATATTCTGACATTATCATTTCCCAAACATATTGTGACTGGGATGGGGAGCCGACCTGGAGTATTTTAAAGCATCATATCATTTCACCCATAAATACTTTGAATATGTATCACTAATATTTAAATACTTTAAATAGTAGAGTATCCTTCTTACAATTTTTTTCAAAAACGCAGTAGTTTCCTAATATCTAATCCTCAGTCCATGGTCAGTCTTTCTAATATCTCAAGATGTCTTTTTACATTTGGTTTCTTTAAAACAGGATCCAAACAAGGTCAAGTACACACTGTTTGGTTACTATGTCTCTTAAGTTTCTAATTTGTCACAGTTCTTTTCTCCACCCCCTTCCACTCCCTTCTTTTCCCCATGCCATTCCCCCCCGCCCCCCACCTGAGGGTATTTTAGAGAGCAGAAGGGAGGGAGAGAGACGGAGAGCTAGAGAGAGAGAAAGAAAGAGAGAGAAAGAAAAAGAAACATATCGATGTGAGAGAGACACATCAATTGGTTGCCTTCCCAAATGCACTCCAACTGGGCTATGGATGGAACCTGCAACCTAGGTATGTGCCCTTGACCAGGAATTGAATCTGTGACTCTTCGGTATGGGGGCTGATGCTCTAACCAGGGAGCAACACCGGCCAGGGCTCCCCATGCCATCGCATATTGAGGAAATTGGATCACTCTTCTGTAGAATTTTCAATCTTCTGAATTTGACTGATTGTATTTACATTGCCCCCTCCTCCCTGTAAATTGGTAGTTAGATCTAGAGCAGTGGTTGGCAAACTCATTAGTCAGCAGAGCCAAATACCAACAGTACAACGATTGAAATTTCTTTTGAGAGCCAAATTTTTTAAACTTAAACTATATAGGTAG